TTAGAATAGATAATAATAATTTATTAATATTTAAGTTTTATATCGGTGGGAGCACACGAAAAGTTTAGGCCTAAATACAGATACAACTAAAAAAAAATCTTAACTAGGGCCTAAAACTTTATATAAAAAAAAACAAAAAAACAAAACAAAACTGCAGTACAACCTAAAATAGTTTTATACTAATGAGAAGAAAAACTAAACAGCAACAATGAAATCTAATTATCGCATTTAGTGAGACATTCTATCTCATGCCAATTTAACAATTTTTTACAATTTTTAAAAGCCGAAACAGAAGCTGAAATAGAAACATCACATATAATTGAGATCCTATCTTCGCTCCCAAGAACAAGTTGAATTTTATCTTCGTTATTGGAAGTAATAAAAAATTAAAGTGGACAGTTCTGCCTCCATGATGATAGCTAGAAATTTACAGTTAAGTATAAAGTATCAAATATCATTAATTTCTCCGTTTTGCACAAGGTACAGTTACCAGATATTTTGTTCATCCATTTTCATGTTCTGTCATCAAACAGAAGTGTATTTGATCCTAATTTAAATTGTGAACTTGTAACTTTGTGATGTTGGTCTTCTCATAAAGATATTTCTCAAGCTTAGAATATTTCAACGTTAAATTTGTTAATCCAATCTATAATATGTTACATACTCTCTACAGTTCTTACATAATAGAGTCATCATCATTCCGTTTATCCCATCAAGGGAGATCGGGTGGTCTCGACACTACCCTCCTTAGTCACCAACTCTGCTCAGCTCAACGACTCAGTTGCGGATTCAAGGGGGCACAGCCGGCCAGCCCCCATAAATTGTTCAAAATTATTTAAAAAAAACATGGAGAAAAAAGAAAATTATATTCAAATTTAAGTCTAAGAGTGCCATTTTCCATCATCTAGAGGTGCTATAATTATATGTTTTCTTACCTCAGCCCCAACCATGGTGGGGCTGATGTCCACTTGTGAAAATTGCTCCCTGGGCCCCCCTTTATTTGAATTCCTGGATCCGCCACTACTACTCTACCGTCATCTCGGACAAACTTTGGACAAACTTAATCATCGCTTTCTAGGTCGTCCTCTCTTCCCTTTGCCCATTTATACGTGCTCAGCTACACTCTTACCAAATCGCCCTCTTTTTTTCTCTCCATGTGTCTTGTACATGGTCGTGTACATCTGTGCCTTCGTTCGTATATATATAGGCCTATATATAAAAGGCCTATCTTTCTGCCCATCACGAAAAATTGATTCCATAAAAACATGTTCGGACCTTAATCAATTCAACAAACGAATAAAACTAGCGGATTTTTTTGACCAAAATGCACCACACCCGGACCAGAACCAACCTAAGATAAAATCGCTCACAAAGGAACAATGGATTCCCCCTAAAGGAAAGAACACAAATTTTATAGACACATTTGTAAGAACAGCGCAAACTCATCTAAACCAATTCATTAAAGAAGAACTACTACACTCTACATCCAACAGAAACCTGTCCCACCAAGAACTGAAAGCTATTAATACGCTACGTAATGATAAAACCATAGTCATCAAGAGAGCAGACAAAGGAGGTGCTATAACTATCATTAACAGAGATGACTACATCAGTGAAGCAGAGTCCCAGATTAAGGATTCATCTTTTTATGAACTGCTTAACTCCGACCCATCCTGTTCATATAAAAAAGAACTTAAGACTTTAGTTAGCCAATTACATCCTGATCTCAAGCCTAAGGTAAGCAGCCTCGTTCCCGACAATCCTACACCTGGTACTTTCTACACCATACCGAAAATACATAAATTACCTAAACTTATAACTAACAAAATTAATTCCACACCTAACCTACAAGACACAATTGATACCGCCAAATTGAGCCCAGCCAACATTTTCACACTTGCCAAAGACCTCTATATCACCACGCCAGGAAGACCTATCATTTTGGGTATTAATTATTCTCTTACCACATTTCGGGTTTTATTGACAGCATCCACAACCCACTACTCCCGAACATTAAAAGCCACATACAAGACACCACGCACTTTCTTCGCAAACTCCAGGAGATAACACACTTACCAGATAACACTCTACTGGTCACCATGGATGTCACTGGCCTTTATACTAACATCCCCCATAATTAAGGTATAGATGCTTGCAAATTCTTTCTTAATGAATTTTATCCTACTCCTTACACATCTGATCTTATTTCACTAATCGACTTTATTCTTACCCACAATCATTTTAAATTTAATAATTCTAACTATCGCCAAATTAAAGGCACAGCTATGGGTACTAAAATGGCCCCCTCGTACGCTAGCATATTCATGGACTTTTTTGAAAACAAAAACATCTACACATACCCCCTCCAACCTCTATTTTACGGCCGCTATATCGATGACATCTTCTTTATTTGGCCACATGGATCTGACACACTAAACTCATTCATCTCCCACATAAATAACTCACATCACAGCATCAAGTTCACCACGGAAAACTCTTACTCAGAAATCCCATTTTTAGATGTATTAGTTGGTTTAAAAGAGAATGAAGTCACATCAACAGTTTACACCAAGCCCACAGACAACCACAGATATCTTAACTTCAATAGCGCTCATCCCATAAAACTCAAAAAATCCATAATATATAGTCAGGCGCTCAGAATAAAATGAATTTGCTTCACCAATACCGAAATTCGATAAACATATAAACACTCTCATCCACAAATTAAGACTCAGCAATTTCCCCATGAAACTGATCAAACCATTAATTATTGAGGCCTCGTCCAAATCCTCGACTACAACCCCCGAATCCAACATCTCGCCAAAACTATCACCAAAGATTTTCGCATTCTTTCTGACTGCACTTCATCTAATTCAGAAGCACTCAAATCACCACCTCTCATAGCATACCGACAACCTCCTAACCTTAATTCACTAATAACTTCATCTAAACTCCCCACTATCACCCCTAAATTTGGTAATCACCCTTGTGGTAATTCACGATGCCAAATTTTTAAGCTTCTTTTTACCCGCGACACCATCAACATCCGCCACTTAACCATGCATACACCCACCATCAGACTGAACACATTTCGGGTTTTATGGACAGTATCCTCAACCCACTACTCCCGAACATTAAAAGTCTCATACAAGACACCACGCACTTTCTTCGCAAACTCCAAGAGATAACACACTTGCCAGATAACACTCTACTGGTCACCATGGATGTCACTGGCCT